AAATGATTGACATTTGTATCTGATCGTCAAACAAGTACTTGTCCATATTGAGAGATATTGCTCTGGAACAGCATTCAAAATCAGCCATTTTTAATACATGTATATATATATATATATATATATATATATATATATATATATATATATATATATATAACATGATGTATAACGAATATATAAAATTTAAATATAATAAGTCAAAGCATTTAAGAAATATGGCTCTAGAAGCCCAATCATTAAAACAAAATGGCCGCCAGTCAGCCATTTTGAATCCAATCTGAAAAATAAAATGACAAGCATCAGGAACCCGTAGTGTCTAATGTACAGTGTATGTACCAAGTTTGAACGAAATCCACCCATAAATGCTTGATATTTGATGATTTTTTAGCACAAAAATGACCACCATTCGGCCATTTTGAATAGAATGGTCAAACCAATATATCTGTCTATCTATGACATGATGTATAATGAATATTTAAAATTTTAAAATACTATCAGTCAAAACAAGTCAGAGATATGGGTCTAGAAGCCAATTCATTAAAACAAAATGGCCACCAGACAGACATTTTGAATCCGATCTGAAAAATAAATGATGTGCATCAGGAACCTGTAATGTCTAATATATGTACCAAATTTGAACGAAATTTATCCATAAATGCCAGAAATGCTTGATATTTGATGATTGTTTAGCACAAAAAAGGCCACCATTTGGTCATTTTGAATAGGATCGTCAAACCAATATATCTGTCTATCTATGACATGATGTATAATGAATATTTAAAATTTGAACATAATCAGTGAAAGCAAGTCAGAGATATGGCACGAGAACCACATTCATTAATACAAAATGGCCGCCAGTCGGCCATTTTGAATCTTATCTGAAAAACAAAATTATTTGCATCAAGGTCCCATAATGTCTAATGTATATACCAGCTTAGAAATGGTTGATTTTTAGGATTTTTGGCACAAAAATGGCTGCCATTCGACCATCTTGAATCAGATCGTAAAACAAAATGATGTGCATCAAGGTCCAAAAATGTTGAATGGATATATCAAGTTTGAACAAAATCCATCTGTAACCAGCCGAGAAATTCGGCCATCTTGAATCAGATCGTGAAACAAATTGACGTGCATATGTGTAATATCATGTATGATGTATGTGTGAAGTTTGATTGTGATTGGTCCAGGCATTTCTAAGATACAGGTCCGGACGCACGCACAGACGCACACACGGAGTCAAAACATAAGTCCCCGTTTTCGGACTG